ATAGTCCTTATCCAAAATTCTTTCAACTTAACGGATTAATCTAACGGACATTAACGGTAAGGACCATTTGTGTGTAAGGTTTGCTCCGTAGGAACCATCTCAGGAAAAAAATTTCATAAGGACAATTTCAGGGAAAAACTGTAAAGTTAAAGGACCATTCGTGTAATTTACTCATAAATTTCATAAGAACAATTTCAGGGAAAAACTAAACAAATGTATTTGTTTTGCAACCATTTAATAAAACATAAACATTTTAATCATAAATTTCATCTTTTATTGATATAATTACCTAAACAAATTCATTATTTTGTAGCCATGTTCCAAGCAAAAAAATGGGTTTAGCAAATAACACCTTTCAAAGAGAACAACATAAAATTACATATTTGACCTTCCTTGTTAATAACACTCCCCTTTACAAGAGCTTTGCTTCGTAAAATCTTGATAAGCTTGCGAAACCAAATCATCATCTTCCCATTCATCACGATAAGTCTCGGGTCTTTCTTTTCTACCCAAAGAAGCTGCAGAATACATTTTCTTTCTCCATTCTTCCGTTTTTGGGGACCCACATTGAGTGGCAATCCAGTCATTATACTCGAACTATCAAAAAAGAAATAACACCCATAAAAGTCAACTTCACCAATTGTTATCAAATGGTACAGTTTGACTTTTAAAAAGTCAACTTCACCAATTTCGATTGATACTTGATAAGTTGACTCAATAGTCAATACCCACATTCTATAGTATACAGCAAAAATAGCATAGGAGCAAAATCTTTAAGTTTGACTCAAAAAGTCAAAATTACGTACCTGATAGCCAGTCATATTATGCGTATATCTTTTTGGCACACCAGATGCTTGCAATGATGCATAAAATGCTTCAACATCTTTCATCATTTCATCTGGTGAAGGCAGAGAAATTCTACCTGATAATATGCCAGCAATCCATTCGCTTTGGAATTCAAATTGGGGGAAAGGAGCGATCTGTAAATTCGATTAACAAGAAAGTTTTTAGTTGTTAAGAGATCGGAAGATGATGGATATGTTGAAATGACGATATTAACCTTCCATGGCAATCCAACGAAAGAAAGCCAAGGGGCTAATGATGGAGGGAAGACGTGCTTATAAAGTGGGCCCACCCGATTGTCATCAACTGTCACGATACCTTTGGTATCAAGAAATGGGAAACTATACTTGTACCTGAAGATCAGGTAAACTATATATATGAGTGTTTATTTTTTATTTAATTCAGAAAGAAAAAGATCAAAGATACAAGAATCTTTCTTTTACCCTGTGCAATGTAGAATAATGTCAGCAAAGATCTTGAACCCATGGGGAAATGAGATACTGCCATCTTCATTAGCACTCTCTACCTACATTAACATTATAAGGATGTTTCTTTTTAACTTAATGCAGAATAAAGAAATCAGAGTTTTTCCATTGATCAATACCATAGGACGTAGCCAAATGTTGGTGTATCCAGGTAGAGATTGATCTTCTTCATTAGAGGTCGACCAAGATGCAATATGGACTTCCTTAGCAACAGTTGCAATCTCTCTAGAAATATCAACAGCACTTGCAGAGCTCCCTATTATCACCACAACCTGTCAAACCCATTGCTCAACGATCAATTTGCTCAAAATCGGTGCTTGAAAACCCTAGAAGATACAATAACGATGATACCTGATCTTGGAAGGGCTCGGGTGTACGGTAATTGTGGCTATGAATCTGTTTCCCCGGCCACCGATCGGCGCCTATGAAGAACCAGATGTCATTTAAGATTCTTGCGATTTCAATTTTATTGAGAATTTGGGGGTATATAGTTTCAGTGTGATGATCATGAACTTTGAACTAACGAAAAGGGTATTGAATCGAGAGAAGAAGAATGGATACCTGGAATCTGTGCGATTCGGGGATCTGTATAATGTCCTGTACAAACAACGACAGCATCAAAAGCTTCATCGAGATGAAGTTCTTCTTCTTTTCGCTTTATTGATCTCACTTCCCACTTCCCATTTTCCCCTTGCGAAACCCGACTCACCTCTGTGTCAAATCGAACTAACTCGCCGATTGCAAACTCGGTGGCGTAATCCTTTAAATACTCCAACACTTCTCTGTGACCCGGGAACCTCCTCGGATCTCTGTGACCCGTTTTCTTTGCTACAAACGGGTACTCCCTCAAGCTCATTGCTTCTCGGGGTAAGTTAGTCCGGAGAGACGCGTAGAGACTTGAATGGACTACAGGACGATTTGAGTCGACGCCGATCGGATCGGGTTCGGTTTTGTTGGTGTATATCCAGGTGCCTCCGACTTGGGATTCTCTCTCAAACACGACGACGGAGTGGCCCTCGCGCCGGAGGTGGCGGGCAGCTACTAGCCCAGCTGCTCCGGCACCGATGACGGCGACGTCACGGGAGGCGATGGGAGGCATGGGAGAAAATTATTGGGTTCACATAAATTTTGGATTGGATATTTGATTGTAAGTAAAGAAATTGATGAGCAATCGTCGTCGACGATGACGACAATTCAGTCAATTGTTGAAAAAATAACAGAGTATCTCTGCAGTGAGGCAAGCCTTGTTTTTTTCTTTTGTTGTAAAATGGGCAACTTCAGGTTCATTTTTCCTAAAACCAAGTTGGTTGGTTATTCGTTAGTGTCATCGAGTATATATAATATTATAATGTTATCGGAATTAATTAATGTTAATGTTAATGTTAATGAGGATTTAAATTACGATTTCATAAAAGTGTATGATGTAAATTGTTGTATATAGTGCGAGTTTGATCCGGTACACACTAATATTAATGTGGATTTAAATTACGACTTCATAAAAGTTGTATGATGCAAATTGTTGTATACACTTTGAGTTTTATCTTGTACACAATAATATTAACGAGGATTAAAATTATGATCTAAAAACGTTATGGATGAAAATGAGGCGGTGTTGACCATCAATGTCATCATCATCATCTACATTTCCAACGGATTTGGGGAATCAAATCCTCTCTCCTTAATAATTTGGGTTTTTTCCTGCGTATTCTCAATCTATCAACATAATAAACTCAACTTGAGCAAAAAAATAATGTCAAGTTTAATAAGTGATTGAAACCAGAAGCCATACTCAAATTGTGTTTACATCAATCATAAAGTTTAAGAAACGTCAAAGTAAGATGTGACTATTTGGTATACGGGACTGTTGAACAAAGTGACAATTGACGAAGTCTTGGAATTGTGAATGTAATTTGGTATATGGACTTTGTCCCTGATGCTCTAATAAACATCAATTCATGCTTAGTGGACTTAATTCAAATTCAATAAATTATCAATATATATATATATATATATATATATATATATATATATATATATATATATATATATATATGCGTGTGTGTGTGTGGGGCAAACTGTATATATACCCTAAAAAATATATAAGTTTAGGTACCCAAACTCACCATACTATATTGTTTTGTATCATATATGCATTGTAATCGTCAAAAGTTCTTAAAATTCAACTCCTAATTTGATTTACTTCAAAGATTTTTATAAATTTCATTATTATCTTCCTCTTACATAATTTTTATTTTCAACTATAATGTATATAGTCTGGTAGGTGTTCGACAAAAAGATGTGATGTAACATGAAGATAATAGTGAAAATTTGAAAATCTTGAAAGTAAATCAAGTTAGAGATTGAAGTTTAACAACATTATAATGCATAACATAACATATCCCAGTGGGCCGACATTGGTGCCTTCGACCCCGGGTACAGTGAGGAGACTCACCTCAAACAGAAGATATCAATTCTCGCACCCAAACCTGTTGCACAACCCTAGTTACATTCTTAAGGTCAAACCCATAAATCATGAGGCCCAACAATGGCCCAAGCCTAAACTAGGCCCACTAATGGCCCAAACCCAATTAGAGGGTCCTCAGGCCCAATACGAGCCCAAGTAAAAAAGGTCCACAACCCTGTAGTCCAAAAAGGTGGTCCAAAATCAAAAGGGCCCAAGAAGCGTACGCCTTGCGTACCAGCTTGTACGCCCTGCGTACGGGTCATCTATGTGCATGGTACAACTCGTCAAAGCAGAAGAAATGGGGACTCCTCGGGAGTACGACCCGCATACCAGAAGAGTACGCACCGTATACTCACCACCGAAGCATAATGTACAAGAAGCTGATGCACAAACCGCACATTATGCTGAGCGTGCTCCTACGTACACCCAACGTACTTATCAGAGGGCCAAAACCCATAATAAGCTCTTAATGGTTAAGTCAAGAACGTCCAAACACATATCAGACCCTTAAGGGGTGTCTTAAGTCCTAAAGTTCCTGACTTTATGACTTTGCATGGCTTAATGGAGTCCAAACCATAATTTAAGCTTCCCAATCTTCATAAAAGCTCACTAATACTTGCATGAAGGAGTAAAATCCCACAAGATTACATTTTTATGACTTAATAACCTCAACAGGGACCAAACATGAGGCTCAAAGGTCCTGGAGTAGCTTCTACTCACAAAAACCACAATTTTGGGACCAAACGTGCTCATAACAACTCCCATAATCAAATTTACACTAAAGAACCATAAACTTTGAAGCTTTATACCTCCAGAAGATAGATCAAGATGCACAAAGTCTGAATCCACAAGCTTCAAGGAATCATATACTCCTTGAAAAAGCTCCTTCTTCTTAAATGAGCACCAAAACACATGAAATCACCCCCAAGAACTCAAGAATAACACCAATGGAGGCTAGGGTTTCGTATCTAGGGTTTAATGGGATGCAGGCTGAACGTAGTGGGGTTTGGAGTTGAGTTAAGGCAATTAAATAGGGTCCAAGACCATAAATTAGGGTTTGCATCTGACTGGAGTACGTCCTGCGTACTCCTGGTACGCCCATTGTACTCAAGAGGGCATCCGCGATCCATGTGCCTAGTACGCCCAACGTACTCCTATGTACGCCCAGCGTACTCCTATGTACGCCCAACGTACTAGGTTTAGCCCTAATACCGCCAAACTTCCGAAGGTCATAACTTCTTCGTTCTAAGTCCGATTTCGACGATCTTTATATTCCCAGAAAGGTAATGAGAAGCTATACACTTTTATCAAATCTCTATTGCCTTAAAACTTTCTGAACTTAAACCCAAAATTCATAAAAATGCCCGAATTGACACTTTATCGTTATACCATTGGGCTCCAAAACACAAACCGAACTCCCGGATCACCCAATCTACATTTTCCACACCTAAAGGGGGTCTAAATTTCTCTTTCCTAAAGGCCCTAAGCCTTATGCTAACTGATATTCGGGTCGCGGCCATGAATTAGGAAACGGTTCGGAACAGGGTGTTACATAAACTTGTTCGGTTTTCTCCGCATCAAATACACTCTAAACTAGGTAGCGGAAAAATCGAAACTACGATATACCTAAGTGTAAATGCAACCTATGGATCTATGGTTTCATGCTAATTACATCTACCCTAGAAAACAAAAATACAAAGAAGAAAAACATACATCTTATATAGCCATTGATCTTCATGCTTGAGATCTTGATCCTCCATGAAGTTGCTTGGATGAGAGGACTAAAACCAAAATCCCTCTAATGGTATCACACCCAATGACACCAAACAGTGGAATAAAAATAACTAGGAGAATAGTCAATTTCACAAACCCTAAGAGGGTTAGAAATAGTCCCTAAGGGGGGGGGGGGGAGGAATAAGGGTTGGCGAAACGTCAATCCAAGGTGCAGGGAAGAATGAAATCCCTATGACCCTATTTATAGCATTGGATCCCTTCCTAGGTTTTGTACTCCTTCCCATGTGGGATAGGAGCCTAACCAATAAATTCACTCATTTTCCCATGTGGGATGGAGTGATTTTCATCCAACCCTAATTCCATAAGGGTTCTGGAATATTCCTGATCAACTAACTATTGATTAATTGAATATTTAACCCTATGATTAATTAAACTGTTAATTAATTCCCAAAATATATTTCCAATTAGTTTCTAATTAATTATTAACCATAATAATTAATAAACCAATATCTCCTTTATTTATTCTACTCAACTTGGGTCTTGAGGGCAACCCAAAAGGACCATGTTATTATTAGGAATATTACCAATAGTTTATGACCTTGGGCACTCTTTCCAACAAAACCCTAATTTGAATATTAAAATATTTAGATTTACCAAATATTCCTATCAGCTAAAAGAGGCTTCCAGAACCCTTCTGGAATAGACCTAATACTGGCCACTTTAGGAGGGTTGTAGAATCCCTCATTTGCGCAACTATTGAACATTTTCACTTCAACCCTTGTACCTCTAATTAATCCAAAATTTATTGCTAATTAACTGCAATTAATTATAAATTAAGTCTAATCAATTTCTAATTAATTTTTAATCATATAATAAATTAATAAATCATTTACTCTCTCTATCTCAATATAATTCGTAGTTATTTCTGGTTATGAGGGCAACCCAAAAAGGACTTTGCTTTTATTCATAAGATTATACCAATTTGGTTAAGACCTTAGACACCTTAATCCAACACGAAAATCAATTATACTCACATTGCAATTTAGTTTACTAACTTATACCATTGGTCCTCATATTTTCCCAATCCTCCCTCAAAACCTAATCAATTATCCCATTACACCTATATGGTTACTTACAAAAACCAATATTGGATGTTCGTTTAGAATAATCAAAAGCATATGTTACAAAACTATTCTCTTGTAAATGGTCATCCTTTGTGCTTTTAAAAAAATAAGCATACTAGGTTGTTAGTGAGATGTGGTAAATATGTTAAGGATGGTGTGGAACAATGTCCCTTTAGGATTCCTGCATCTTGGACTAGTGAGAAGGAAGAGGCATTCCAAATCAAGTCTTTAAATTGCACACATCATTATTATAGACAGTTCAATATTCGACCATTATCACTTACAAATGGTTGGACAATCATTTCAAAAGAGAATTGTTAACTAGTAGGAATATATTCATAAGGGAACCGAAGGGTAAGATCACAAAGAAGTTGAACACCAAAGTGAGCTTGTGCCAGTATAGGAGGGCTAGGAAGCATGCACTTGATAAATTAGAAGGGTCATTAAAGAAACATAACTCTATGTTGTGGATTTATGGCGAGGAAATCATGAGATCAAACCATGGGTCAACAGTGAATATGGATCTCGATGTTTTGCCTGATGGTACAACCCATTTCAGTAAGTTCTACATCTATTTCAAAGCTCTTAATATATGGATGTAAAGTTGCTTGTAGGAGGGTTAACAGTTTGGATGAGTGCTTTCTTAAAGGGGTATGCAAATGTGAGTTGCTTTCTGCAATGGGAATAGATGAAAATAACCAGATATATCCATCTGATTGTTCAATTGTGAATATAGAGAACAAAAGCATCTGGAAATAGTTTCTTGATAACTTGATGGATGATCTTGATTTAGTTGATGGAAGGCACAATGATACCA